TTTTTTTTTTTTTTTTTTGAGGAGAAGGGAGGCTTATGTGACAATTATTGAGCGTTACTGGAACATAAAAAGATGCGACGCTGTTGTTATACTGCTTTTTAGATTTTAAAAGCCTAATAGAAAAAAAGCAAGCATTAGTTGATTAAAAGACAACAAGAAAAGCTGACAAGGAAACTAAAAATTTTGGTAGACCTTTTATCAGTCATTTCGCAAAAATTTATCTTTGCTACTCCTTACTTCTTTTGAACAGTATAATTTCTTTGCTTGTTTTGATTTTTTTGTTGATATTTTGCGTCATCATATTCAGATTGGTGAATCTGTGACATATTAGCGGTAAAAAGCTGGTAGCAAAAACGTTGCAGTAAGCTGACATGCAAGGCATTATCAACTGTGTGAACAGTAAAGAACATCAGGGTGCTTGATGTTGTGATTATAATCGTCTTCAGTATTTACTTCTCCTGTTGTTAGCTGACACGTCTTTTCTAACATCTGACAGTTTTGTCTATCTAACTAAACCAAAAATGAAAATAACTGAAATAACTGTTTTTCTTCGAACAAAGGCATAAACTTTGCTGCCAGTATTTCAGTCGAAGGTTGCCAAACGTAACAATTGACTGTCAGTTGTATTGCGTTTAACGGTCCAAAGTGATTGCCAAACATTGACAGGGTTGGCAGTAAAAGTAAAGGAATTTCTTGGTGGTACACGATTCTGTCATACTTTTATGCATTCTGTTGTACACTCAAATTTATTTTGTATAAAAGGTTCTTTTTTTTCTATAAACTGTCAAATTCTCTTCCTTTTTTTACATTATATATAAATATCTGTATTTGTTTTTCAGATGCTCTTAAAACTTGCTAGTGATATTTTTTTAAGGTTCTGCTCCTTTAAAATTGCACCAAAATGACGTAGTTTAATTATTTTAAGCGGCTGTTCTTTTTACACTGGTCGTCTCTTTGTTTCATCTACAAACAGCAAGTTTAACGACTACGTTCAAAAATATAACTTTAAGCGACATTTTCTTGTCGGGAAGAGAGAATCTGTTAAAAGAATCTGATAAAACGTCAAAATTTTAGATATGACAAAACAGGAATGTTATATAACGGCAGCTTTTTTGTTTTATTCTAGCCAACATCTAATATCATTTCAACTATCAAATTAATAATTGCTTTGAAGGTGGTCTAAAGTTGCTGTTACAACTGCGTGCGATAGAAGTTGAACGTGAGGCATTTAACGTGACATTAATTAACGATATAATTTCTTATCACCGTAATTGCAATCATTCTCATAAAATAAAATAAATAAATAAATAAAAAAAACAAAGTCGTAGTGAACAGATAAGAGGTTGAAAAAGTAAACTGAAATACATTATAAATACACATACTTTTAGGGTCTTATTGATTGTTGAATGTCCACGTGGATACCTAACCATTACAAAACTGATGTTGCATTACATAATTGCAAAGTAATTATTTTAATTAAAAAAGTGGTGAAGATTTAGACTTTTCGCTGCAAACTGCAATAGCTGCAATAATGCTGTAAACTTCCTTATTTATCCAATGATCTATTAGCTTTGGTTATTATTACTGCAGTAATTAAAGTTATAAAAATTGTAAAAAAACAATTACTAGACTTTAGGCATAAAAACCGTTATAAAAATTATTGATTTTTAAAATAGTCATTTCGTAAACTTTAGTTTTAATATCTGTACATCAATAATTCGATTTTATACTGCATTTTTGAAGATTTCTTTTTTCGTTTTCTAGTTTTTTTTTACTTATTAATTTGTAATGAGTACGTTACAATAATCTTAGAGCTTTTGAAACATTTAAAACTTTTTTTTCTGATTGTTTAAAAATGTCTTAACCAATGACTTCCTTTGTTGTAAACAGCTTTTTTTAAAATATTTCCACTTTCAACAGCGGTAACACTGAGGTGCTTTATTATTTGTTATGCAATGACTTTTGCCTGATCATTGATTTAGCAATGTATGAAAAAAAAAAAAAAAAAACAGGACAAGTCTTATTTTTGCAAATATATTGCCCTTGATTCAAGATTATGCTTGTAAAGCGGTAGCAAAAGTAACTTTAGCACGTTGCTGGCTGACGTATGCTCTTCTTCTCCTTTTATATCTTAATTACGAAAACAAAACTGATAACCCAGAAAGTATTAATTTTTCTACTCGCGTATTTTACAGCAACCTTCTGTTTCCGTACCCTTTTCTTTAAAAAGCCATTTGTTTAGTTTTACGGCATACAAATTTTGCATGCATTTTCAATAAAAATGTAAATAACAGCAAGAAACCTCACAATTTTAATAAAGATAAAATTATTTATTAAAAGTTTAAAAAGTATATTAAAAAAAACTTTAGACAATTTTTAGATTGATGTATACGTGTGTTTGTTGCTGTTAAAAGTTTTTCAGAACAAAAAAAAAGTTTGCCACTTTTTTTTCAGTTTTTTGCCTTCTAAACTTTTGAAGCATTTTTTCAATAAACGTTTTTCAGAATCACGCAATTTATAACTCAACTACAGAAGAACAAGAAACAATATCAATCATGTTTAAAAACTGAATCTTCGCTTCGTATTACATCATTTATTACCTACGCCTAAATACATTATCTATTTCGTTTCTTCTGTAAAAGACAATGTCAACCAAAACAAAAAAATAAGATTCTGAGTAAAAAAGGCTAAATAAAAAGTGCTGATTAGGAAGGAGGTTTATAAACATATTAATACAAACATTATTTTCATTTTTTATTATTTTATCGTTACTATTTTTATTATTATTAATGTTATTATCGTTCTGCTATTACTATAATTAGAATATTATTACTTTACTACTGTTATTATTATTATTATTGCTATTACTATTATCAGTAATATTTTCATTATTACTATTATTGTTGTTAGTAATTGTTCATATGTTAACCAAAGGTAAGTTTCGTTGTACCTGTAGACGTCAATGTTTGAGCTTTGAGGGTGCATTTGCTTGTGCTGACCAACAGCAAAAAAAAAAAAAATAAATAAAATTTTAATTTTTTAGTGATGTTTCAAGAGACTGAAGCTGCCTGTCGTGTTTGTCATGCACCGGCTCAAGGTATGCACTTTGGAGTTGAAGTATGTCGAGCATGTGCAGCGTTTTTTCGACGAAGTATAAGTCTAAAAAGACAGTACGTCTGTCGATCTGGTAGCCATAAATGTAAACTTTCCAATGGTAAGTTAATCAACTGATCAGGATGTACGTCGAAGTGCTTTTTAATACTGGCAAAAATTTATCTAAGCAGAATACCCATTTTTAGTGGCAAGAAACGTTTGTCGCAAGTGTCGCCTGCAAAAATGTTTTGAAGTTGGAATGCTCGAAGAAAGTATGTCAATTGAAGTAAATAATTTTAAATTTTTATTTTTTCAAAAAAAAAGTTTTTTTTTTTATGAATTTCGATACGCACTGCTCTTTGACGAAATTTTCATGCTTAACCTTCCTTACGTAACTCAATTCTCAGCAGCAAACAGAATTTTTGTCTCTTTTTTTTTCACTCTTCTCTCCTGCGCATTAGTTTTTGAAGACGTACAAATTTTGCTTATACAAATATAATGCTACCAAATTTTTATTTGCGCCATGATCTATCTTTTTTATTCAAGCGTTCTTTCTTGATCGCGTTGAAAATGAAAAATCAGTCAGAGTGAAGTGCTGAAAGGCCAGTAATGAATTTCTTCAACAACAAACATTTTTATGCTTTTTTTCTACCGCAACATATCTTCTGGATAGAAAACTGTAGGAAAATGATGCGGCAGAGGTGAAAGAGAATGGAGTGCTTGTAAGTATACTGTTGTGGCATAAAACGGCAGAAACTTTCCCCAATTAAAGAAATTCAGAGTTTAAGTCTAAAAGCTTTCTTTGCGCACACAGTTTGCTGAACTTCTTAATTTTCGGTTTGGAAATGTATTTATTTTAGATGTTCAACCAAATCGCGATCCTCTAAAAAATCGCAAAAATTCTAGAAGACAAAGCGAATCTTATCCACCATCGATATCGTCATCAGTCCTAGAGTTATGTCTTTTCACTGTACTTAAAACACAGTTTTTTGCAGTTGGTAAACACTCATTTTCGACCTAGTGTTATGACTCTCAAAAGAAAGAACCAAAAAATATTGAACAATTTGTAACTTTGGTTTCCTTTTTAGCAAAAACATGGAATTTTCATGAAACATTGAAGTTTTGCGTTTAAATTGTATGTAATGAGAATTAATACTATGTTCTGTTTCAGACTTTCACAGATGATAGAGAAAAATGCTCAGCATTTTGTGCTGTAACTACTGTTCCAAGAAATATTAAAGTGTTTGATGGTGTAAATACGTCAACACCTACCGAAGAAATTATAGGTCTGATTGAAGCAGGTGGGTCAAAATAATAGTCTTTTTTCTTTTAAAATTTTTGAGCTTTTTTTATTTGATGGTTTAAAAAGCTTTGAGAAGATAACTCTTTAACGAAAAGAAGTTTAATGTACCTCAACAGTTTTATCTGACAAATTCAAAGATAATTGATACTTTAGCGCAACACCAGACAAAAGTTAAACATGTTTCTGGCATTTTTCAGCTTAAAAAATTGTAATTTTTTAAAGCATCTTAAAGAATCTTTTTTTCAGGTAAACTCAGTATTTCATAAAATTTTCTGACATTGTTATATGAAATAATTTCGCTTTTTACTTAATAGGTTATGCAAAGTATTGTCAAACAAGAATTAGTGCTGAACTATTAGAACTGTATGGAGAAGTTCGGGATGTTCCGAGAAATATATATGGCTACCCAACTGTAACAAATCTTAATTGATAAGAATTTTGACAGTTTACCACTGCTGTAATTTTCACCTTCTTTACTGCTTTTGTTTTTTACCTATCGCCATTTATGGCGAAAAAAGAAAAGCAGAAAAAGGTTTTATTTTTTATACTCTTAACGACTTTAGACTTTTGAATTGACTGTTGGCAACATCCCGGTAGAACGCTGAATCGTCGTACGTTTGATTATTTTCAGGAACTCAGGCTTACCACTTTTGACGAATGCATGAGGATTTTTCGGCATTTGAGATATCAACTTGCAGAATTTCTCAGAGATACATTTGAATGTTACAGAGAGCTTCCAGCTGAACAAAAAGTTTCTAGTTTGAAATATTATACACTTACACATTAATGAAGATATGAGTGACGTAGTCACGTTACGGCTACTTCAACGATACCTCCTGTTCAAAAATTTTTCGTTTTTTTATTTCTAGTGGATCCTTTTTCGTCATTTCTTTGAGACATTCTGCGGAGTCGAAGCTCACATACTAACAAATATGCACTTTCCCAATCCATCCAGCAGTTGCATTGTAATTACTATGTGCACTTATGTCGACATGAGTTCCCTTCATCGATACTTTACTACAGAGCAGGATAACCCTTTTGCAAGGTAAACTGTTCAAGCTTTAAGTATATTCAAAGTTGATTTGACTTTCGTAGCCTTCACAACTGCGAAGAAAACGATCTGATCGAGGTAAGAGACAGAAAAATGGGGTCTGTTTAGAAAAGTGAGTTAAAAATTTGAAGTAATTTCAAGTATTTATTTCGGTATAACTAAAATTTTTTAGGGTAGTGACCAACGTTATAACTCGACGTATTGATGTTGTAAGGAACTTGCGAGACTTCACTGTTGATCGTTATGAATTAGCTGCACTCGTTGGACTCACCCTGTTTTCTCAAGGTATCTTAGACGTTTTTGTATTTGCTAAACAGATTTTTTATATGTAATAATGTAAGGAAAATTAAGCTTACAGGTTAAAAAACTGTAAAAAAAAAGAGATTTAATTTTTGGGTACTAGCTCAAGCATATTTTGAAATGGCTGGCAGTAACTTTTTAAAGACTTCTATTAAGGCTTCCTCTATTACTTTATTTTTATTATTTTTAGTTTCACAAGAGGTTTTTATTCAGTCTTCTTCATTGTGGTATAAGTCGAGACCTCTTTGACTTGGTTGTGGATGACATTAAACACGAAGCAGAAATAAAACAAATTTTTTTGTTTAGAGGTTGATGGACTTTCAGACGAAGCGAGAAATGTAATAAATGGAATGCAGGAAAAAATACTGTTCAGCTTACATTACTATTACACAGAAACATTAAGGATAAAAAACTATGCGTATCGACTTGGCGAAAGCTTTTCACTTCTTTGGTTAGCTCGAGTAAGACATCTCGTTACGCTTCTTTCAGTAATTCACGTATAGCAAGTTGAATTGTACAGATATAAAGTTTTATGAAATTGAGACCGATTAAAAAGAAAGGAATTTTAATAGACAAACAAAATCAAAGACGATAAAAAACGCTTTAATGATTGTTTTCTTATTAAGTTTTAGGATTACAATTCATAAGACAAATAATAACTAGTAACACCTGGTTGGTTTCCATTTTTTTTTGGTACTTTTAATAACAATCATACTTTTTATGTATCACATATGTTTCAGAAATGCTGTTACATATTTAAGAATACAAGCGAAACTGCGGCGTTATTCGGCATATTCAATTACCGTGAACTGTTTTACGGTGATTTCGGCCCGTACTCCTTGTAATAGCGACGTTCTTGACGCGTAACATTGAGAATGCATCTAGTTTTGAATTCACCGTATCGGTTGGCTCTTTTAGCGCTTTTCGTGAAAAAATTTCGTATTATTTTATCACTTAAAGTAGATTGCTGTTATTTGGAACACTTAATACCTCTGTTTTGAAAAACTAAAATGTTATACAAAAAAGGTAATCGTATTTAGCCATGTAAATTTTGTTTACAGATTCTTACAAAAAGCTATCGCGTTTTTTTCCGCTTCGCACTAGCTTCTCTACCTTAATTTTTATTTCATCTTTGCCTTTTTTACGACGCTGCAGGATGCAGTTTCTGCGCCTAGGTATTATTCAATTATTATACAACTGAAAATATGATTTTGGCACCGATGATCTACGCAGGCGAAATAGTGGGGGTAATTAGATTTAAGTTTTTTGTTGCTTAACAGAAGAAGTTACAAATTGAAACATTATGCTAAAAGCTGTAGCTTTCGAAATAATGATTTTCTGTTAGATTTCTCCCCGCCCTTTAAAAAATATGAACTAAAAAACAATAGAAGCATAACAATTTTTGGAACATGAAAACTTTAATAGTTTAATCACATTTGGTTCTATTTAAAACAAGTGCCTAGAGACAAAAATTTTTCTCTTCTCTTTTTTTTAAAGTTTTTTGTCTATTTTTGATACATTTTTTTGTTTCGTTATAGGTATAGGTCAGGACCGAAATTGGATTCAACCGCACAATCAATCATTAGTCATTAAGTTATAAAATAAAAACCTTTTTCGCTGTTGCGAAAGTATTTTCATCTGCTGAAGTTTTCTTGTTTATGTGCGAACATTTGGAGTACAACCTGAAAAAATGACTGGTTGAAAAAGTTTAAAAAAGAAGTAATTAAGAGAAAAATGACTGCTGGAGCAGACCTACGTATCTATTGACTACTATTCACTGGCAACTGACTGCTGTGGAAATACAAAGAAAAAAGAAAATCCAGAACAATAACAGTATCAGCAGTAATACTCCGAGCACCCGATTGCATAAACAAAAAAATACTAATTCTCTCGAATAAAAGCTCAAAACTTTAGCTATAATTTGACAAGATTTATGTTTAAGAACAAATGCTGACCTTTAACAGATAGTCTTTACTGGCAAGCCTAAGTTTAATTTCAGGGCTAGTAATAACAGAATTTTTTTTCAAAGAGAGAATAAGTAGAAAATTTAAGTCAAACTGCATTTAGGTTTTAAAATTTGAAAGTAGAACGATTACCGCTCGAGAGGTTATAAGCTTGCAAAAACCTTAATCAGTTGTCCAAATTAGAAAAAATTGTCGTTCCTCGCAAATCTGTTACCGTCTTATATGATATCCGTCTAACATACACGGCATTTTGAGAGCTGGATTCTACAACAGGATTTAAAACGCGCTCGAACTCTCACTACCAGACGGCTGAGAAACAAAAAAGTAAAACTTTCTAAGTGGATACAGCACAGCTTGGACTTCAAAATTGTTATGGGAACGCTCGGCTGGTAAGTTTGGGAAGGAGTAGGTTAGAGGCAACAGTCACTCAAGAGGCGAATTTGACAAAACACTAGGCTTCTATTATGCTTTTATGGCTATCGTTTTCGTTGCTTCTCATATAAATGTTCAAGTTTTGCTGTCAGAATCTCACTTTTTGCTGTCTCTGTATTCGAAGCTTGTTTGTAGTAATTATATATAGAAAAATAATATTTACATTTTAACTAACTATTAAGGATGTAGTTCCCAGTATATTAAAAAAAAAATGAAAAAAAAAGTTTGAAAAGAGTTTTCTCTAACAGAAATTATGTCGATGAGAAATTCTTCCTCTTCCGATGCTTAAACCTTGCCTATTTTTGTGCATTGTCGATTGATACTGTAGTCGAAAAACTGCCGAAAAAAACTTAAGAAAGAATTTATACGGTCGTTTAGTTTCGATTGTTCTCATATTTATCGTTATTAAATGTAGAAAAAAAATTGAGATATGTTTGTGAAGAGGTAAT